GGAAACTTTAATATTTACATTTTCTGTGTCTTTAATCCACACAGAAATGAGTTTTGATCAATGATGGATGTAAAAGGAGTTGAGGCAAAAAGCAAAAATTCAATAGAAATAGCCAAACAAGTAGGAAAATGCGTTTCTTCAATTACATTAATTTGACGAATGCGTGATTTCACCACGCCACCTAAAACATGTGTTCGACACATCCATAATTCAGGTTAACTGATAAAGAAAAATTAAAGGGATATTGGTCAAGGAATTGCAAATTGTACCCGAGATTTCAAATTTTCTGGATTTTTGTGTTATCTGTGCCTGACTGTATATATTTTGTATGATTGCCTTTAGGAATGGTTTATTCACATGGGCTCGGTGGTGACTACTAGCCTGTAGCACAAGTCTGGAATGTATTGTAAACACTGACGGAAGTGAAGACTCTAGCTCCAACAGTTTGAAAGTCAAGCAGAAATACATCCATTGACACAATAATAGGCATTTAGTGCCAGGGAAAAGCAAGACATCCTGACAGAAATAAAAGATGTAGGACCAACTTGTGGGGACCTCCAACCCCCAACACCTCAACAAACAGATCTGTTCTAATACTAATACTACATTAAAGTAAGACTGAAGCGTAAAGTAGAGAACTTGGCATTATTTCTTACATCCTACTGAAACTGACTTTTAACTTAACAAAGTGATGTCACCACTGAAACCGATTTGGGCAAAATGATGTCACCACTGAAGCCAACCGATTTTGATAAAGTGACAAAGTGGTGCAAGTGTTATCACTGAAACCAATGTTGACAAAGGGATTTCACCACAAATTAGGCTGCTTTATTGTGAGACTGGCTCAGGTTCATGGTAATGTATCATATTATAGTCTAGCATGGACATAGCAAACAGATTTTCAGGTCTCAAATTTGTTCTTACATTTATTTTTTGTAACAAGTATTTTAACACATACACAGTGAGATTCATACATAGCTGAAAGGTTTATTTGTCCATTGATTCCGCTGTATTTCAAAATGTAATATATAAGGCATTCACTTTTTTACATCAACTGGACAGTGAGATTGCCCAAAGCTGCTTATGTTTCCTGTCAATCAATTAAATTAATAATGATTTACTAATACCCAAGGCAGTCATTTATGAACCCTGATGTTGTGCCATTAACACTTTCAGAAATATGCCAGAAATTCTCCCTCTTAACTGTGAAAACTCGTCATTCTTGATTCTTTTCCCACACTCTGCTACTGCTTGTGAAACATGTAGATACCGGTGTCGGTGATGCAGTGTTTAGTTTGGGGCTTTACAGTCTCACATGGGACACCTGAGTTCAATTCCCAAGGGGGGGGGGGGGGGGGGGGGGATTTTGATCAAGTACCAGTGTCTCTGTCTTTCTGTAGTGATTTTGTATCCTTCTCAGTCCGGGTTGGCCCTGACAGAAGGAGGGTGCAAAAATAAAATCACCTACATTCACATTATAAATAATAGACGTAGAACTATATATCTATTTTGCGGAACCCATGTAACGGATTAAAGTCCAGCAAGCTCCTCAGGTGCAGAAGGTATGAACTTGAACCAAGAAGTACCTGTGCAAAACTGTGGATGATTTCTGAAGTTTAAGGTTTCTTTCCACCTCGTCAGTTAGATGTGCAAGGAGTAAAAAAGAGAAACCTTAGTCTTTAGGTGACAAATATCCCAATCTTTTCATCAAGAAAAATGCCGGAATAGGATGCCACTAAAACAGCAGTTTGCACATAAACTAGGGGAGGAAACAACTGTGCTAAAACTAAAATTGATAAGTAGGTGCAAATTTGCATCTCAGTCATGGCAAGGGGCTCAACTCTTGTTTGTTATAGTAGAGGTTTTATGGCGCTCTCAACTGCATAAGGTCATATGAGCACCAGAAGATTAGAGGTGTTACAAGGAGTAACAATACTAACAAACATAAAAAAAGGAGGGGAGATAAGGACAATTGGTGTTTGATAGGAAAGAAGGAGCAAACCTCACTAGAGCACCCGCTTACCACCCACACACTCAACTCTCCTTATGCCACAGAACATACATGTGGTATAATTCCCAGTTTATCAGGTATGATCACATGTGTTGTTCCTTCCTCCTGTTTTCCACACTCCTGTCTTTATGGTATGGAACAAAACCTTAACTTCACAAAATAAAGTGAACAAGCTCAGGGCATCAAGCATGTATGCTGCATTCACTCGAAAGACATCTTGACAGCCAAGAAGAGCAAGCCATCCCAGGCAAGCAGTATGAGCAAAATTCTTTCATTCTTTCCCAAAAAATAGAAAAAAATTACAGTGGGTGGGTGGTGGGTATATGCAGGCCTACTTTGGTGCGGTTTGCTCCTTTTGTATCATTCCCTATGATGACACAACACAACAGTAGTGTATTATAAAACCCAAAGCTCTTTGACAGTACATTGTAGGCCTGCAATATGTAGAAAGGCATTTTGTTGTAACGGAATAAACAACTACATTTTTATCCCATCAAAACTTGTGTCAAAACCATGGTTTTCAAGAGCTAAAACATTATGTATCTTGAATAACTTTCAGGCAAATTGTAAAGTTACACAGTTTTCAATTATGGTACATCACCGTCAGGCTCAACATTTACTGCTGACTTTTTCTAATCATTAATTCTAGACTTATATTTGAAGATTATGGCTTTCCACAAAGAAAACCAAAAGCTCATTCAAGAGCAAGCTATAGATACATGTATATGGTCGAAAGTGACCTTCCTTTCAACGATAGTACCACGAGAGATGACAGATTTCCACTATGAATTTAGAACATAAACACCCTCAACAAATGTAGGACTTAATAATAGACACGATGATTTTAGGATTTGAAAGCAACGTTCGCCTTCCAATTTCCAACACTATGACAGATGATATGTGAGGCAATGTGGTGAAATCAGGCACTCGTCAAAATAATGAAATAAAAGAAAACTGCATTTTTCTGGCCGCTTGACAATTTTTTTCGAATTTTATTTTTTGTTTTGGCTCAATACCTTGCACGTCCTTTTAAAAACATATTTCTGGGTTGATTTTTCTGAAAACCGTTGATTGAAGGCACAAAAAATGTAAATTTCAGTTTCCAAGGTTTCACAAACAGTGGGAATCACAGATCTTTGGTGTCTATTTCCTCATTAATTTTACCTCTGAAATCAGGCGACCCGACCCCCCCACCTCCTTCAATCAGAAATATCTCGACTTCAATTCAAGATAGATGGGTATTTTTTCATCAAAAGGTACAGAAATTAACAAGTTTTAGGATGACACCAATAACTCCGCATACCCAAAAATTGACGAGCGCCTGATTTCACCACGTCGTGACACATATCATGTTTGTGTACTTTGTTTTCCCTGTCCGCGACAATTCGCTTTTATCTGCCCTCAAAATATCTCTGACAAAAAAGTGGATGGAGTAGGCCTCCATAAAAAAGAGTTAAACATACACACGTTCCCAGTTTTTGGTTGAACATTTTTATTGTAGTTTTTACACAATGATAATTTAAAAACATGCACAAAGAAAGCAAATGGCAACAATTCATCTCTCTAGATAATAACCATCTTAACATTCCAACTAAATTAATTGTTACACTAAATATGAAAAACATTCAGAAGAAGCTTAAAGGTAAAAGACTGAATATCTAGAAAAAGATTTGAAATATAAATGTTCATACAGAAACAATAATATATATATGTGTAGTCTAGTGCGCACATAGCGAACAGATTTTCATGTTCAGAATTTTTTCTTCCATTTCTTTGGATTCAAAACATGCACATAACATTTAAAAAATTATACATAGCCTCAACGAGGTTAAGTCTAAACACATTTGAAGTAGTCATGATAAGAGAAAGAGACACAGAGAGAGAGAGAGAGAGAGAGAGAGAGAGAGAGAGAGAGAGAGAGAGAGAGAGAGAGAGAGGTGCAGTTGCGAGCGTCGTAAGACGCTTACAAAAACCAAAAAAAGAGAGAGACCGAAAGACAGACAGAGACAAGAAAATGTTGAGAGGGTGGTAAGTGTCACCACTTGTGTCAACAAATTTCCTTTTCAACAAAGATTACACACTATGCAACAGCTTGTCTTCATTCTGCAAAGTTTGGATTAGGTGAAGTTATAGAAGCTGAAGAGACTGGCCCATGGCAGAGCAAAAAAAGTGGAAAGGCTTCAAGGTCCAGGAAAGATAGCTGGGCCTCACAGAGGTTGATACAAAATCAATGTCAAAAACACAAATCTACAAAATGTTTAAAATTAAAGAGACAATGGACCTCGTAGTAAGTCTACTAACGTTCACGTTGGCGTGACATAGTCTGAAATTAATACACTGTGAAAAGATTTCCACGTCCCACCAATTTCGCTTGGTGCATGCTAGACTGCACATATAAATAATCAATCAAAGCAAAGAATTTACTACTAAATGCAAATGTTTCCTTTTCCTTTTCAGCCCTTGATAAGACACAAATATGTAAGAAAAAGTTACAATTTACCTCTTGTCAAAGCTTTCATAGTTAAAAATATATAAGAGTATCTAAAAAAAGAAAAAGACTTTTTACCCAAAGCCAGACCATGGGCTTCAACAAACAATGGTCATACAATGCTACGAGAGCTAGGCCTGCTTACACAAACCAAAGAAATGAGAGAGAGAGAGAGAGAGAGAGAGAGAGAGAGAGAGAGAGAGGGAGGGAGGGAGGGAGGGAGGGAGGGAGGGGGGGGGGGAGGGAGGGAGGGAGGGAGAGAGAGAGAGAGAGAGAGAGAGAGAGAGAGAGAGAGAGAGAGAGAGAGAGAGAGAGAGAGAGAGAGAGAGAGAGAGACGTGAACCCTGTGTGGCAACCCTAACCCTCACACTCTGAGCCACAGATCAAAAATACAAAAACAATGAACCTGGGACAAATCGGACCAGGTTCCTTTCAGCACCTTGAAACATTAACGTTCATATTTCACTCAACACTACACCTCCCCATTTCTCAATTCCATTCTCTGAAAAAACAAACACGCATCAATCATACTTCCTGTGTACAGCACAATTCAGGTTTGTACCTTCTCCCTGTCTCTCATCTTTAACTGCCTCTGTGTTTCACTAAATACTGGAACAGACCGACCTATCATCATACCTATTTAAAACTATCTTCGGGGTCAAACCTCATGATGCTAAATAAAGTTGCATAGATGAAAAGTGACAAACATTTAAAAACTATCCATTGTTGGGGTTTTGAAAGATTAAAAAATTATAATTCTTTCATTTCAAGATTTCATGACCAGGCAACATGGAATTTTCTCTAATCTTATTTTAAATCAACGTGCATGAGGTCAAAAAGAAAAGTCTCCAACTGTTGATAAAGACTGTCTAAGTTTTAAAATTCCTTAATCTCAAGCACCAATGATTAACTTCTTGGTCGTCGCTTAAATCGTCTTCTAACCCAGCTGATGACAGACGAAAATGATTTTCTCTGAGGCAAGTTAAAGATGTCTTCCTGTCAGGGGGCAGGCCTAGGCTTCAGTATCAGTTTACCGTTCTGAAAAAGAAAAGAAAATCTTTTAAAATAAAGCTCAGGGAAACTATCAGGGCTTAACACATTTCAGTTTAGTTTTTCAGTAAAAGTTTCACAAAACTTGCAAAACAAATAAATCATATAAAAGCCAAACATTTGAGGTGTTACAAGAAAGTAAAACACAAAGAAAAGCAGGAGAAATAACGATGAAAGATGTTTGATAGGAAAGAAGGAGCAAACCCCACCAGAGCACCACCAACCCCTATGTTACCCATTTAACTCTTCAATACAATGTACACAGGGAAAAAGCATGATGCTAAAGGCACATATCCCAGGTTTAGATTCCTACTAAAAGGCCTTTCTAGATCACCACCCCTCAGCTCTGTCCTATTGTAAATGATCATTACTTTTTTAGGTCCCGCCTCTTAAACAACCTAAGTGTTGTTAAAAACTCATACAATTACTAACGGTCAGGAAAAAGTAAGCGTTGAACTTTTAACTACAATCTATCTCAATTAAAATAGGAGTGATATCTAAAATTAGAATTCAGCACCTTCTGGCACTTTTCTCAGAGCCACATACATACTGTAACATGATTGTCAAAAACATAAAATGTGAGGCATCGAGGTGAAATCAGGCACTCGTCAAAATAATGAAATAGAAAAAACACATTTTTCCACCAGTTTAGCAATTTTTATTGAATTTTTGGTTTTCGGCTCAACACTTTTTAAGTTCATATAAAAATATATGTCTTCGTGAATTTGACTGAAAAACGTTGATTAATGCATGGCACAAAACATGTAAATCTAATATTTCAATTTTCAAAGACTCTCAAGCTATTGAAGTTACCGAAGTCTGGCAGTCTTTTTCTCGCTAATATTACCACTGAAACCAGGCGACCCCACCTCCTTCAATCGCAAATACCTTGACTTCGATTCAAGACAGTCGTGTATTTTTTTCTTCAAAAGATGGTCAAATGAACAAGCTTTAAGATGACACCAATAACTCCAGTTTCCCAAAAACTGACGAGCGCCTGATTCCACCGCGTGCCATGACACAAATTATGATAACATCGCTTTGACACTTACGTCATCACAGGACATGTTGTATTCGGCCAGAAAAGTGCGACATCTGGAGGCAATACTGACATGTTGTTAAGGAAATGTTTTGTGACAAACGTTTAGAAACAAAATTATAAGCATAAAAGAAATGGTGAGAATATCAGACCAGAAAGAAGATCTCCACAAAGTTATTATCTCTCGTGCAAAGGGTGTCTCAAAAAGTTGCCCAATATTATAAAAGTGACTGAACGTCCTTATTCATCACTTTATCATTTGATTTATTCTTTAAGCATAAAACTTACCATACACAGTATCTATTTGTTGTTTCTTTTGTTGCTTTTCAATGCCTAGCAGTTACAGAATGAAACATTTCAAAGCATTTTGTCCCATAAGAGGAATGAGAGCTTCAGCTAAATTTTCTCAAGAAGGAAGAGAAAATCTCTGACCAAATCCAAGCCTGCTACATCAATATGTTGGTCAACTTGGGAACCAGCTGCAAAATGGCAAAGTGTCATAAGAAAATTATAAAAAGTGTACAGGTGTATAGTCCCTATCAACACTATTAGGTTGGAGTAACATATATATTTATTTATCTATTCATTTATTTATTTATATGTAAAACATTCTCCTGTGTGTTTACTCTAAGACTAACAGCTAATTTCAAAATCCAAAATGCTGCACAGTTTGTAGTTATTAGGCTACTAAACACAAAAGAGCCAGAAGATAGAATTGGGCAGGGTTCTGACCTACACATGCAGTGAACAAATAACAAATTATAATCAGCATGGCAGACAAAACCATAGACAGCAATTCAACAGGTGTTAAACTACAGTAACTTTGCACTCAAAACACCAACATGACCACAGACTAGTACACACATATACATGTCTTCCGGCAGCGCCCCGTTCAGGACCAATGATGAGAAGTCTCCTTTTCTTTAACTCTTTATCTCCGAGGGGGGGTAAACCAACTACACTGTGGCTCTTTTTTGGTGCTAAATCTAAAAATGAAGAAAACGCCATAATATGGATCATTAAATCAAAACTAGCAAACCTATTTTGATAGTTCTTCATCTAATGAATGAACATCCGGTATAAGAGACCTGTTTTCAGCAATTACCGAAAAGTAATTTGATGTCGAATTCGTCGTAAAGGAATGTGCCCGAGACGCGGTCACCGGCTCACCAGTTCCGACCGTGAGCTGCTGGAAGCGGCTTGCCACAGATAAAGAGTTAAAGCTTTCAAACTCAAACAACTGTATTTGAGTTTCTCTCTATATTCCATCATCTCCAAGTATTCCCTAAACTGATGCTAACTCATCTTTTGTTTGTTTGCCAGGCAATTATTCATTGTACTACACTAGTATATTAGAACTAAAATTACAGCCAAACCTGTCCAGACAGCTACCTGTGCAAACAGCCACTTTCTATTAATTCCCCTTGCATTTTTTGCATATATGGCATTCATTGCTTAAAGCAACAAAAACCTGTCCAGTGTATCAACAGTCACTACATTTTTTCAGCCAGCAGTCACAAAAGACCTGTCTAAGATGGCCGAGCAAATCTCTTATTGCCCAGTGTGTTGCCACAAATAATTTATCCGCCCCTGAATCTGTGGACTAGTTGTCATGATCCATTCAAGTGTTGCTAATGTTAACCGGTCCTATGAAGGAACCAATCACTGACCAGCATGTTGCGTAGATGAGGTTCCTAGTCCCTCTTACTGTTTACCCAAGTTGACCAGTCCGTAATATTTTAATAGGCCTTATCACAGTCTTTTGCATGTGACCCCCGACAGCTGTGAATTCAAAACGGAATGGTTTGTTTTCTTCATTTTCATCAATCCTATCTAATAAGAAGGTCACTTTTCTATTCAACATTGGGAGGCCGCCTTAGAAAATTTCAAATATATTCCAGTCTTAGTGATGGGCCCACTGTTTTACAGAGAGCATACTAATGGGCTAGAACTCGTCTGCTGGGACATTTCAGTAACCGACTCTCAGCATTTTTCAAGGACCCCCGAGCGACTGTTGAGTTCCTGCGTGCTGTCAGCATCGCTGACCATTTATGACGCCACAGCGCCAGAAGAGAGAGAGAGACAGAGAGAGAGAGAGAGAGCATACTAGGTAGCCATAATCTTGACCTGTCTACTTGACAAAACACTAAAATGTTAAAAATATCAGCAACTAAATGTGACAACGGTATTCCAGTCATCAAGCTATCAGACTTGCGGCTTTGAAGTCAGGAGTTCAAACCCTCGTTTGGCCTCATCAATGTGTCGTTGTGAAAAGAACTTTATTCAACTTCTACTTTACCATGGTAAGAACGGGTACCTGACTTCAGGAGAGAAAGATCTTATACAGTATTTCAGTGTAAGAACATCTCTAAAACAGCAGCTTGCACTAAATGTTTCCCAGGAAGCTGAGAATGTTTCAGAATGTTTAAGTGTCTGTCCAGGTGATAGTAATTAAATACAATCTTTTATAAATAGATCTTGAGGTAAACCTAAAAATAAAACAAAAGTACATCAATTACTCCGAGTAAGACTCTGCCACATGCCATTTGAAAAGTAATGTATGATGGAGTCTTACACTGAGCAGTCAATATAACTTTGAACTGTTTGTTTGTTTTAGTAGTAGTTTTATGGCGCTCGCAATTGCATATATGGTCATATGAGCGCAAGAAAATTAGAGGTGTTACAAGAGAGTAACAAACATAAAAAAGAAGAAGGAGGGATAAGGACGATAGATGTTTGATAGGAAAGAAGAAGCAAACCACCCACGAAGGTCATATTAGAGACTGTAAAAAAGTTCAAACATGAAACAACACTTCGCCTTTTACAACAGAAAGGATACATGGAAGCAGCAATAACTCTCTTGTGAATTCCGAATAAGAAGAGAAGCAGAAGAATGATGCAGCTAATGGTGAAGAATGGGTGGTTCCATAGAGACTGGGAGAAACTCACCTGCAATTTAAAAAAAAATTAAATTAAAAAACACCAAAAAACAAGTAAGTCATAATGCAATATTTACAAAATTAATTAATTAATTAATTGTAAGAAATTAATTTCATCACATTAAAATTTATTAGGAGCGACAGCAAGAGAATGTTGCACCTGCCTAAATGCATTTAAGTAGCTAGAAAAATTTGAACATTTCTGCTGTTCTTGAAAGTCTGCGGTGTTTTCGTTTTTTTAAAGGTACTTAATAGATGAAATAATAGTACCACCTGATGTAAAGATAGAATCAGAACTCAGTTCAAAAGTTTTGTTCAAAATAGCAAAGACTGAACTGCGCTGAGTCGATTTCTCTAGTCTTGGCTATCTGATACTATTAACCAATGACTGTTACGCTTCAAAGCCTGCTTAATTAGGTACACACAGAATTTTCTCCACCCCTCACACCCCCCCCCCCCTTCTCTGTCGGTGTAAATATTTATTTCAAGCATTACCTACTTCAACCCACCTCTTCCATACATAGTACAACCCAGTCTCCATCTTTTCTCTATGCTCAGTGTAAAAAATATGCTTCCTTATCAAGTTCTTTCTTTAAAGTCTGTACCCAAAAATACAAACTATCCCTTTTCTTAAACAGTGATTTTTAAGTTGTCAGTCAGCAGCTCCGTGTTAACCCCATTTTCATATTGGTTCCCCTCCCTCCCCATTTTTATTCTTTTAAAATATTTAATTTTTCTTTCACTAAGACGCAAAGAACCTATTTGTTTTAATGCTTGTCTTTTCTGTAAAAAATATTAGTCAAAAGTTTCTAGAAGACAAAGGTGATCAGATTGCATTTCTTGATCTGTACATAAATTGAACCAACTTTAAAAAAGAATAATTTAATAAAAACAATTAACATGGAACACCTGAAAATCTATGAACAGAATTTTGCTGCACATAAAAGGGCTGATACACATGTCCCAAACCCTCTACTTCTCAAAACAAGAAAAAGAAACCATTGCAACGATTCAGCAATTTTCTTTATCAAAGATAAAAATGAAACCAACACTTGATTTTCACAAGCAACTTGAGTCAAAACAGCTTCACCGTATAAACCCATATGTCAGGGGTGTCCCCAGCCACTGGGATTGTTACATTCTTACGGGGCAGACAAAAGGTACAGTAAGCTTTAACAACAGAAGTCACCTGAAATCAAATGAGGTGACCAGTGAAAAAAAACAACTTTAATTGGCTCTTTTAGAGTCCTACCTGCAAACTCTCAAGACAATATATGCGGGGGCGAAAAAAATCCTTTAAAATAATTTTTCAATGAAAAAATATTTTTAAAATGAATTGATTACTTGCTGCAAGTCACCACAAAAAAAAAGAAAAAAGGGTGCTCATACCTGACTTACATATACATTAAATATTGCACACCACGTACCTTGCAATTTTTATAAAACACTCTTTCAGCCAAAAAAGTATCCTTTTAATAAAGTCCAAATGTAAACATATCATTACAAATTTAATTCTAAGCTGAAACTAAGATATTAGTTTTCCTGACATCTGCACTATACTATGGAACATTACAGCAACTGCAGCAAACCTGCACTTATCACTACATGGCATTGGACAGAAGGGCGAGAGCCCAGCTGTTGCTGGTTCGATAACAACAACAACAGAAAAAAAACCCAATCATTTTCAGCAATCAAAATCTAAACATTTGTTATTATTTTTGTTAGTTCTGACTAATTCAAGAAAAAAAATACTTGGCACCATTACAGGTCAACTAAAGTCCAATACGGACCTGGCTCTACAGCTAATAAAATATTATAAATTCTGCCTAGAATGAGAAAAGAGAAGTTCTAAAAAGTAATTAAAATTTTCTTACTTTAGAGGTTTCAGGGTCCCAAAGCCAAGTCCAAGCACCAACCATTAAACACATGGACACAAATATGAAAATAACTGAAAAATAAAAATGAAAACCAAGTTTCAATAAAGTACACATATTATTATTATAGACCATTGTAATCAAAACGTTTTAAGAGATACACACTACCCACACTTTGATATTAATCTGACAAACAGCACCCTTCATTTGCGTCACGAAACGATAGAATCAGGCGTTTGTCAATTTTTGGGCATGTGGAGTTATTGGTATCATCTTAACCTTGTTCATTTGTCTTGCTTTCGATGAAAAAAATACCCATCAGTCTTGAATAATTCGAGATATAATATCAATTGAAGAGGGAGGGGGGGGGGGGGGGGATCATCTTCATCCAGGTGGGAATGGGTACCCGGCCATAGACAGTGAAAGATCTTGTCAGTTTGTTAGTTTTTGAGTGCTTAATCAGCTGCTTGCACTGTATGCTTCCCGGGAAACTGAGAATGTTTCTGAGTTTCTATTGTCTGCTGGGGTAATATATAGTGTAAAGCGCATAGAGCCTGCTGTTGAGCAGGGATATGCGCTATACAAATGCTATTTACTATACTATTATTATTTATTATTATATCTGGTTGCAGGGACAAAAATTATTGAGAAAATGGCAGTAAAAGTTTGGTGTATCTTCGATAGTTCCTTGGAAACTGAAAATTTACCTTTTTTGAACCTTTAATTAACGTTTTTCAGTAAAAGCCACACAGATATGAGCCTTAGCCAATAGGTGGGGGTTGCTTCATATACCTTACAAAATCCTTTCCTATTCCAATAAAAATGGTGTTACAGCTATGAAATTTGTATATGTTGAGCTTAATATGATGTTTCAGCTATGGGAGCAGAGAAATAGCAGTCGGGCCAGAAGAAGAAATCTTACAAATATTTTTAGTTTTGAAATCGATATATCTTTAGAATGCAAAACGTGACGCGTTGAGTTCGTACTTTTTCTGTCGTCAAGTTCAACAATTAAATAATTGCTGAGAAACTCGTCCTTCTATACTTTTATCACATTGTTTGTGGTGCTATATCGGGAATAATGATATCTGTATCTATTTTTTTCTTTGTGAGCCTTCTAGAAATTCATTTTCGAGCATAACTCGTGCAGTCATTTCGCAAGGCAACTTCGATTCACAGAGACTTCGTTTCTATCGGCCATTTTGGGGCCCTGGAATGAGCATAATGTCATTTTATGTTTACTCTCTATCCCGATTGATTCTGAAGGTGTGACCAGGCGTAATTTTGCAGTAAGCGGAAATCCCGCGACGCCTCGAGCTCTGTCATCATTTGTTATGCTCGAAAAAAACAATCAGAAAACGAGACGAGAAATAATAGGGGAGGAAGGAACATGCACTGTTCCTGTTGATCCATTCAATGTGTACTGATGTGCCATGTAAGACGGTGAGAAGAAAAAAGATGGATGAGAAGATTTTGTTGAGTTTTATTATGTCATCATCAAATCTTAACATGCTATGTTCGAAAAAAGCTATTATGTCAGCAATATTTTTCTCCCCATTTAATCAAATTCAAACCAAGTAATGATTAACAAGGCACTGCGTTCCAATGGTCAAGTAGTGGTAGAACTAGATGTAATCACACATGCTTGGCTAGATGTCACTAAGAGGGGAGAATTTGATGATATGTTCCAAAATGACGACAAACATTTATCCAGTATGTGTCATCGTGGTTATGTTCGAAATATACTTGATATTTTGCAAAGAGCCATAGTAAAATGTGTATTAAGTGGGATTTTTTCCACCATTAGCATGCATGTCAAACTGAATCATCCTGAATCTTTGTTTGTCAAAATTTTCAAAAAAAGAATTAAAATATGAAAATGAAAGTTTTTCATTTTTTTCAGACATAAACTATGATGACACAAATGCGAACACAAAGACATTCAGAATTTCTTTTTCTGTGATGTTATATGCTCTTCATGCTTATGTTTGAAAATTAAAGCAATGAGAAAAGTATTTTAAAAATCTTATGTTCCCTAAACTAAATTATTTTTCAGGTTATTTTTCATTTTGTGTCATCATGGTTATGTTCGAAAGATATTTGATATTTTGCTGGGATTTATAGTAAAATGTGAATAAAGTGGTATTTTTTCATTATTAACATGTATTGTGAGTCAAATTGAATCTTTTGAATCTTTGTTTGCCCAAATTTTCATACAAAATTAAGATATGAAAAAGGAAAGTATTTCATTTCTTCCAGACATAATTATGATGACAAAATGCAAACACAACGGCATTCAGGATAAATTCTTTTTTCTGTGATCCTCACCATTTTATAAGCTCTTCATGCTTATGTTTGAAAATTAAAGCAATAAGAAAACTGTTAAAAATAATTTTTGAAAGTTCAAATTCTAAAAAATGTGTCATCATAGTTATATCAGAAAGAATTTGACTTGATGTAATGTAACGCAAGTTACACAGCTTAGCATGCCATTTGAAGGTCTGTAAATACATGTTTTTGTAGGAGGAGATATGATATACAGGAATAGAAAAATTCAAGTGAAGACGAAATATTAAAAACTTTATTATCAACCCTCTGTGCTACATTTTAGGTACCCACCTATTGTCAAAAGCTCATATGTTTAAAAGGACATAAAAGGTGCTGAGCAAAAAAACTACAATTCAATAAAAATTGCCGAACCCACAGTAAAACCTGTTTTCTTCAAATTCATTACTTTGATTTCGCCATGATACCTTACATATTGAGCATAAATATAAACAATAATGTCGTTTACGCACATACGTTAAGTCAAACTATTGCCAAATGTGTAAAGTAAAATATGATGTTGCTGCACTTAAAGTGCATAATGGTCTGAAAAGTCCAAATGCAAGGGATTGATAAGCAGAGTGAACATTAAACAAAAATTATATTTGACTCTTTTTAGACAAGACACAAAACTAGAGAGAGATCTTTATAACTTTTTAATATCCTGACCCACTACAACTCCATCCAGACAGATCTTTTCCATTCATTAAAATGACCACATTACAACTAGATAGTACAGGAATTTTATTCTAAAGAGAAAGTCAATGGATTCCACTCTTCCTACAGAAGAAAACTGAAAAAAGGAGTCCACTGAAACCTTAACTTTTCAGCATACAAAACTTGTCTACTGGGACATTGATTTAATGTATTTTACTAGCCACATCCAAATAAAACAAAGACGTTTTGGCAACTCCCATGACTTTGTATTTTATGGAGTCACTGTATGTCTAAAATAAAATATCTGAAGTGCAGAAACTCTGTGGAAAAACTGAGTAAACAAAGCTTTTTCGACTTAAAAAAAACAACTTACTCCTCCAGAATCTTGCAGCTGGCTGATGGCCGCTTATTACTTCAGTCAGCCGACGCTCAAAAGCTTTTAGGTCTGAAAAGAAACGTATGTCAAAAAAAAATGTCAGGTCATAGAAATGACCGAAGTGATAAAGGCATTGATGATGATAATGATGAGGATGATGATAATGATGATGATGATAAACGCTGAACACATTTATAATATATTATTTTGGAAATCCTAAATCTACCAAGTTTCAATTTTTTCTATTCTCTGCTTACAATAATAATGATAATGATGATGATGATGATGATGAGAGGATAGTACAGTAACATCCTGCTCCATAACATCAGATTATAACATTATAAAGCAAAATCCGGTCTCTTTTGTTTCATAACTTAATCACAAACAAAGCATCTCTTTTTCAGCTCAAGAATTAAAAAAAACAGCGAGTGATGTAAGCTTAGGTGGAGAACTCAGACACTAGTACCATGTTTGGCGAAAACAAACGTGTTGGCGAGTTCACACCTTGGTGTGATCCTGTCTGGTCCAAACATTGTACAATTTCATCGAAATTTTCTGCTGCATCCATCTGGGTTTTTGTTCTATATATCAAGATCTGAAACGTGGGATCTTAACCAAATGTAGACCTCCAAGCAGGATCTTAGGGGTGACTTTTATAGTAAAATTTGTTTTGTTTTCTTAAAATAGTGGGATCTTCAGCGAACCAGATAAGCCGTGGGATCTTAAGCAAAACCACTGTATGTGTCCCCCTAAGCCCCCACTCAAATTTTAAAAAACATGCTTAATAATACTCTACATGCGTGTACAACAAAACCCATAATAATATTTCAAAATCTCTAGTAATTTGCGACGGACACATAATGTCGACATTTGTGTCCAACAGATAAAAAGGAACAAGATCATATATAAGTACCATACAATAATCAAATATCTTTAGTAGTATGAGATGGGAGTGAAAGTAAAATTATACCAAAATTTCAATAATTGATTTATGAAAGTATAGTGACCATATACGGACAAATCTTTTTTACTTTCACTCCCGAACAGAGATGCATTGTTTTTGGGGTCACACTGCAGTATTTTTTGCTGCAGATCACAACAGCCACTAAAACTGTCGCAAATCAAGGTCCTTTATTCTCCCTCCTGTCTCATACTTAGCTACCGGGTATCCATTTTCTACTATATATATATATATAATATATTATATATATAAACTTTATATTGATGCGCTTGACAAGAACATCTACTTCATTTCATTGCAAATTTATTGTTTATGAAATATTCGATGGGTTTCTAATAGAGCTATATCACAGGCGGAAATCCATAGGCATGAAAACCAAACGGCAGCGGAACGGCACAGATCACTCAAACAGAAAAGTCTTTGTCTGAATCCATTAGTACAGAATGGCAGCAGGACGGCACTGGCAGTTCTGCGGTACCGCAGCGGTTCTTTTTTAACCAGACACAGGAGCGATTCTGCTGCTGCCGCAGAGAAAAATGTGGACATGGCGCCTAAATATTCCAGTGAAAATGCCACATTGCATAGTGGGCGCTTTCTTCTCCAAACCAAGACAAAAAAGGCACAAACCTGTCGTGCCGTACCATGTCTATGGATTCAAACATTGAGGTTCAAACATTGCAGTTCCGCCGCCGTTTATTTTCTGTGCCGATGGATTTCCTGCTTTAGCTTAGTATAATAGAGCTACGTAGTAATTTGCACACTTTGGACCTATCGCAGGGTTTCAGCTGAAGTTGAAGCAAAAAAAAAACCACTTACAGGGAGG